AGCAAAGACCAGGTCATCCACGCAAACAAGGATGTAGAACAGAGTTTGACCAGAACGGATAAAGAGCGAGGGGTTTGCAGGTCAGCAAGTGTAGCACGCAGCGTGTCGTGCCACTTACGGGGCGCCTGGTGCAGGCCGTAGACGGGGTACCGGAGAAGCCCTGGGGACGGCGCAGGTAGACCTGCTCGTGTAGACAGCCCTAGAGGAAAGCTGTGGAGAAGTCGACTCAGTGCAGCTCGTAGTCATGCTGTGCTGCTACGTGTAGCATTGCCTGAAGAGTAGTCATCTTCGGGGTCGGGGCAAAGGTCTGAAAGTAATCCACCCCCTCACGCTGACTGAAGCCACGAGCAACGTATCGCGCCTTGAAGACAGGCGGCTCTCCAGGAGGACGCGTCACCTTGAACAGCCATCGGCCATCGACTACGTTCACCCGAGGAGGGGGAATATCGTCGACAAAGGTACCGGTGGATCTCCAAGATGCCATTTCCTGTTCCATGGCAGCTATCCATAGTGAGGCCCAGGGTCCCGAGGTGGCCTCAACGTAGGTGTAAGGGGTCGGGGTGTTAAGGGCGTCTGGGTCACCCTCAGGGACTAGCAGCATGGAACAGAGATGGAGAGCAGCTTCTGACAGGAAAGCAAGCTCGTACTGTCTGTCCTCTAGGACGTCACTGCCAAGGGCAGGAGCACCCCCGACGGACAGAGGGCAGGCAGGGTCAGAGACCACAGTGGTGGCGTAGTCAAGGTAGCGGTTAGCGGCAAAGTCAGCGACAGTAGCGACACGAGCGTCAAGGCTCGAGAAAGGAACAGACGGGTCTTTAACGAGGGAGGCAAGGACACGGGGAACAAGGGGACGCATGGCACGGAGGAAGTCGAAAAACGGAGGCGGGGCCACAGCGAGTGACGACGGAGGAGGACACGGGAGGAGCAGAGGAGCACGGGAGGCGTGAGAGCGAAGCAAGATTGGGTGAGAAAGCAGAACAGGGGAGGTAGGATGAGCACGAGATGGGCGACGAGCCCAGACGTGAGACGGAGGAGTCGGGTCACGAGAGAGGCGAGGAGACATAGGAGGAGAGCAAGAAGGGAAACGAGCCGGAGAAGAGTCCACTGGAGGAAACACAGAGCCGTAGACCAGCAGAGGAGGAGGCGGTGGCAACCGAGGAGGCACCGACGGGCGGTCAGGAGAAGAAAGGCTGTGGAGGCGAAGAGCAGACACTGCCAGCGACGGTGACGACTAGTGCCCTACGCCAATACTAGAATATCCAGCAGGACCACGGCTCCCTCCGGGAAGCCCCATGCTTACACCCCCAAAAGGGGAACCCGCTCCAGTACCTGTTTTGGGACGCTCTTCAGAATGCACAAACCCGAGTGGCGATGACGACGGTTGTTACGGCTGCGGCGGCAACGTCAGCTGCGGAGGCTGCTGTGACGGCAGCTGCGGCTGCGGATGTGACAGCAACGGCGGCGACAGGAGAGGAGAGACTGGGGCGGGGACAGGCAAGAGAAGGGAATCCACCAATCCGCGAGAGTCAGCAGACCCCTCGGCAGGGACAACCGACAGGAGGGGGGTGACGTGTGACACACCAGACGTGGCAGGGCGGGGAGGGGGAGGAGCCGGGGTGACTGGGGGAGGGAGGGAACCATAAACTGGGGGGGAGTGATCGGGGGACTACGGTGGTGAAAGCGGTGGTAGGAGAAGGACTCGTCAAAGGTGACATCGCGAGAGTGAAAGAAATGGTGAGACAACGGGTGGTAGAAGTGCTAGTCAGACGAGTCGAGGGGGAAACCTAGGAAGACACAAGGGACGGTGCGGGCAATGAGCTTGGCAGCCCCAGACATGGAACGCAGACGCGTCACCGAGAGACCTGGTCCAGAGGAGGGTCGGCAAAACCAGCGGCCGCTGAGTGTGTGGCCATAGGTTAAGTTGGTGGGCGGCGTAGCGAATGGCGAACGGCCACAGAAAATGGGGTGCACTGGCATGGGTCATGGAGGTACGAGCCACCTCCATGACCAAACCGATGCGTTGCTCATCGACCCCATTCTGCTGCGGGGAGTCCGGTAGGGTGTACGTCTGGGTGATGCCCTCCGCACAACAGAAGCGACCAAGACATCCAGAAGCGAACTCGCCACCAAGGTCGGAGTAAAAATGCAATGCAGGGAGACCTTGGTTCACACGCACAGAGACAAGCCACGTGAAAAGAACGTCAGGTACGTCGGCCTTCCGCTCCAAGGGAAACACGGTGGTGTAGGGAGTGTAGTCGTCGACAAACACTAGGAAGTAACGCTCACGACGTGGCCCATGGACGGGGGCGGGGCCCCAGACGTCCATGTGCAGGGTCTATAACGGTGAGGTGGTGGGGGGGAACGAGGAGGAGTGAGGGGCACGGCGGAGCCGGCCCTCGACGCAGGGCGTGCACGGAGGCGCTACCGAGGAGGGGAGCGTAGGGAACGACGCAGAGAGACCTAAGACAAGTCCGTTCTGAGACATGTGACGGGGATGTGTGAGGACAGGTTTACCTAGGCGGTGGTGTGACAGAAGCGACGGGTGAGTAAGCGACCGACACAAGCAAGCCGCAGCAACCTGGGTAGACGCTGCCACCTGGGGGGGCGTCCTAATCGGGGGGGACGCGGTGTCCAGCGTGAATAGGCCAGACACCGGGTCCCGGGGGAACGTGGTGAGGGGGGTACCAATGGCGGCCTCGGTACAGACCAGGGAACGTAGTGGTGACGCCGAGTTCGTGAAGTCAGCCGACACCAACTAGATTCCGAGAGAACGAGGGGATGTGCAGGCCTGTAACAGAGCCCGAAGGAACTGCCAGACATGGGAGAGTGGTGGAACTACGGGCGACTACCGGACCTGAGGAAGGGTCTGCAAGGGCAACTGCGGCAGGGACGGCAAGCGGTGTAAGCGTAGTGTGGTCCCAAAAGATACACCGAGACGCGCCAGAGTCGAGAGTGAAGGGGAGCGCGGCAGTGGCGGCTGGGGGCGGAGGAGCTAGGGTGGAGCCAAGGCTAAACAAAGCAAAGGGTCCTATGCCTGACGCAGCAGGGGAGCCTAAACTAGGCACACTGGGCACACCTACACTAGGCAATACGGGGTAATAGGAAACAATCACACTAGAGTCATCAATATATAGCACATACAATGCAGAGAAAATCTCATCCATGTTCATATCAAAGATCCTAACACTACGGCGGAGCAGACTATGCCAGTCGGGGAGGTCCGGCGCGGGGTCGAAGCGGAGACGAAACAGGTATTCCAGGCGATTGAAACAGCGAGTGGGGGTATGACCGCTCTTACCGCACACGAGGCTGCGGTGAGGACCGGTCTGGAGCTGGTACTGGCAGCGCCCGTCACTCACACCACCACCCCATGACGAGCTAAGCGCACGACCACCGCGACCACCACCACCACCACCATCGCCAGGCCACCCCGGCGGGAGACGACCGACCCTCCGCTGCGACTGCTGCTGCTGCGGCGGCGGCGGCTGCTGCTGCTGGTGGTGGTCAAGCTGCGGTGTGTGTTGCTGCTCCCGTTGGGGCTGCTGCTCCGAGGCACCATCCCCAGCCCCCTCGTCGGTACTACCGCCAGCGGATGAACCACCGCCACCACTACCTCCACCCCCTCCTCCACTACCCCCGTCGTGCCCAGCCTTGGGGAGGCGAGCCTTACTATAATGGGACTGCGCTGTGGCCACCGCATCAGCGGTCTCAGCAGCAGGGGCTGTCTCAGCTACAGCCGCAGAACCGTCATAGTAAGTGCACTGGGCGGGAGCACAACCCTAAAAGATATGGACCGTTGTAGTACCGCTAGACTGGGCAATAGAGCGCTGACAGGTCTCTATGGCAGACAGGGTGTCGACAAAGTCAGAGAGGGTGAGGTCAGCGGGGTGCAGACTAAGAAAGTGGTCACGAGCAGTGGCAAGGCGGTCAGGTAGGCGGGTGGTAAGCAGGTAAAGGGTAGAGCAGTTAGGGGGCTGGAACACACGAAGCTGGGCCTCAGTGCAGGCAGCGCGCCAGCTAGCGTCGAGCGTGGGGAAAGACGCAAGATCAGGGAAGAGCGTGGGAAGGATTAGGCGGCCGGCAGAGGCAGAAGACGGGGTGGAATAATGCTCGACAACAGCCTCTAGGAACTCCTGCGCAGTCCTGGCCGACTAAAAGCAGGGGCGCTCAGACAGGGGGAGGGCATGGCTAATCGCGAGCTGAGCGACAGCGTCATGCGATAGCCAGACAGCACGGGCAAGGGCAGCAGCGGCGGCGGACTCACGGTCAATAGACGTGGGGTCAGCGGGGAGAGCAACAGGGGGGTCAGGGCAGGGGAGCGTACCGTCAATGTGGACGGCCAGGGAGTGGCCGTCCTGCCGTGAGCTAGTGAGGTGACGGTGGAGGTCGATAAGCCATGAGTCGAACTCAATCGGCTGACCCTCCGCGTCAACGCGCAGCACCGAGTCCGCCATGAAGGCTGCTGTAGCCGCAAACAGGCGGTGAAGGGAGGGATGGAGTGAGGAGGAGCATTGGGGAGGAGTGCTGTACGGTGCAGTGCGTTGGAGTGCGGTGGGGCTGTTAAATTACAGTGACGGAAAAAACTGTCCGGATGTTTGGCTCTAATTAGGGTTTTTTGGCTTTCCGACCATGGTACATAAAGTCTTAATGTTTTATTGTGGTACGCTTTGGGAGGGGCACATAGTGGATGTGTTCAAAGCGCTAAAATCCATAGTAGTACACTGGATCTAACTTTGTGCCAAAAGTTATACAAAGGGGTCATCCGGACAGTTTTTTCCCGAGACAAAGAGCAAACTTCCGAACAGGGTTTCTAGTACCTAGTACACCGACCCTTGGCCTTAATCACCACCCGCAGCCTCCTAGGCATGTTATTTACGTGGCTAGTGCAAACCTTTGTTGAGATCTTCTTGCACTCTTCTTGGACCCACCCTTTTGCATAAGGGGGTGAGCACTTGGAAAAACGCGAAGGATTTGAGCGTCTTCAAGTTTTTTGTGTACGATATCTGTTTGAATGTTATGTATGAGACTAGCCACACTGAGGTATGACCAAAGATGCCATTAGCCGATTGGTTCCATTTTATCATGGGTCGTCTTCGTCGTACCGCTGTAGGGTAAAACCATGAATAGAGCGGCAAAAAATGGTGCATATGCCGTGAAACTGAGGGTAACGTAGCACGGTTGATTATTCATCCTTGCACTATTAGAATCACGCTAGGATCTGCATGTCTCATCACGGTGCAGCAGTCGAAGAGGTTGCGACTGTTCGGGAAGAATATCCGGGTTGAGGTCTGGTGAAGAAAAGGGTCACTCCAGTGCAACATACTCATGCTCCCCAATGCTCTCCAAGCCATTTGTACCGCATAGGCTTGGAATAGCATTGGAGAACATCAGTTTGTAGCACTGAAGTGGCCCTTTTCTTCACCTGACCTCAACCCGGATATTCTTCCCGAATAGTCGCAACTTCTTCGACTGCTGCACCGTGATGAGACATGCAGATCCTAGCGTGATTCTAATTGTGCAAGGATGAATAATCAACCGTGCTACGTTACCCTCAGTTTCACGGCATATACACTATTTTTTGCCGCTCTATTTGTGGTTTTACCCTACAGCGGTACGACGAAGACGACCCATGATAAGATGGAACCAATCGGCTAATGGCATCTTTGGTTATACCTCAGTGTGGCTAGTCTCATAGATAACATTCAAACAGAAATCGTAGACAAAACTCTTGCAGACGCTCAAATCCTTCAAATTTTCCTAGTGCTCACCCCCTTATGTAAAAGCGAGGAAGCACACTAGAGTCATCAGCATACATCACATGCAGAGCAGAAACAATGGCATCCATGTCCAAGTCAAAAATCGGAATACTACGACTAAGCAAACTGTGCCAGTCCGGCAGGTCTGGCGACGGGCCGAAGCGCTGACGAAACAAGTCGTCCAGGCGACGAAAGCAGCGACGAGTGGTATGACCGATCTTACCGCAGACGAAGCCGCGGCGAGGACCGGTCTTGTCACAGGATCGAATGTGTCGAGGAAAGGTTGCACCATCGATCAGTACAAGGCGTTTTTATACTTCCAAAGTAAATCAGGTAACCAGGTTTATCTTATCCTAAGGGAATAGACCCTTCTAGAAGATAGAATCACCCTGCGTATAGCCACGCGAGGCTATTGGTTTTAAGGGATTACGGCAGGATTACGCCAGATAGCGCACCAGTACATCCCAAGCCTGGTCGGTGATATAACTATAATAGCAGGATAAACCAAAGGTTAATGGAAAATGGAGAATAGGAAACCAAATGAGATGAGATAAAAAGAGGAATGAGAGAGGAAGGAAATAAGAAAAGGGACAAGTGGTGTAACGGGGTCGTACTCTCACACTTCCCCCCCTCAAAGCTGGGTGGTAGAAGTAACACCCTGCTTGACAAGGTAGTCATGCAGAGGACGACGGGCGTTACCCATGTCGGACTCAGGGACCCAGCTGTCCTCAGAAGGATCATAACCTTTCAACGGATGAGAAGCTCCACGGTGCCATTCCAACGTCGGCGGTGTGCTAGCACGGACTCGACCTTGTACTCGGGTTCATTCTGGACGAGGACAGGCGGCGGCGGCGGCGGTTGGCGTCCGACGAAGATTGTGTTTGGATCCCGATAGGGCTTCAGAAGTTGGACATGGAAGGCGTTGTGAATCTTCTAGGTAGCTGGCAGGCGTAAGCGGAAGGTAACAGGAGTGACCTGTGCTTCAACGAGAAAAGGCCCGCAGAAGCGAGGTCGCGGTTTAGATGGGAGGTGGCTGATGTCCAGGTTGCGGGTGTCAAGAAGCACCTGGTCTCCCACCGTGATGGTGTGGTCGTTGTGATGGCGATCGGCGTGGCGCTTTTGTTGCTGCTGAATGTCGAGGAGGCGCTTGTGGGTCCGATCCCAAAGCTGATGCATGGTTGTGATGAAATCATGTGCCGGTTGTACTGTGGCGGATGTGGTCGGTTTCTGTGGTGTGAGTGGGTGGCGTCCGTAGCAGAGGAAGAATGGCGTCTGTCCAGTAGCGGCATGTGTGGCATTGTTGTAGGCAAACTCCAGGACGGACAGATGCAAGTCCCAATTGGAGATGTCGTCCTTGCAGGCTGCGCGGAGGAGTTGCTCAACAATTTGGTTGAGGTGCTCGGACTGTCCGTCTGTCTGCGGATGGTATGCGGATGACATGGCGAGTTTGGTTCCGAGAAGAGACATAAGTTCCTTCCAGAACTTGCTGGTGAACTTGGGGTCTCGGTCGGAAATGAGTGTGGTTGGAATGCCATGCTGTGAGATGATGTGACGAACGAAGAGTTGTGCTGTCTCCTCGGTGCGTGCCGTCGTGTGTGTAAGGAAGAAGTGTCCCATTTTGGAGAACTTGTCGATGACGACAAGGATTGCGTCATGACTGCTGGTGGTAGGTAGTAACCCGGTGATGAAGTCCAGGCTAACCACTTGCCATGGCTGTTCTGGGACAGGAAGAGGCTGCAGTAGTCCCGCCTTTTTCTGCTTGCTGCTCTTCATCCGTTGACATGTATCACACGAGCTGACGAATTTCTGTACGTCATCTGCCATGTGGGGCCAGTAGTAGTGTTTGGCGATACCGGTGAGCGTCTTGTTGCCACCGAAGTGTCCGGCGTATAGGACGTCGTGGTATTCTTCGAGTAGTAACTGGCACAAAGGAGGGTAATTGGGGATCCAAATTTTCGTTGATCCTTTCCGGTCAAAATGTCATTGTCCCACTGTAGCAAATGCCGCTTTTCCACCAAGGGGGTTTCGGGGTCGATGGTGTACCCGTGTGTGAAGAGTCCCTTGAGTAGTGGATTCATCCCTTCAATCTGAATGGCGGCAACGTGTGCAGGCCGGCTAAGAGCGTCTGCTTTGTTTTTGTGGCCGGGCTTGTACACGATGTCGTAGTGGAAGTGTGTCTCGAGGAAGTCGATCTACCGGACCTGCCGCCTGGAAAGGTTGGGTTGTGTCTTCAAGTATTTCAGGCTGCAGTGGTCACTGTAGACGGTTGTTCTTCGTCCTTCGAGATAACATCTCCACGCTTTGAAGGCGATGACGATGGCAAGGGCCTCTTTGTCGTGTATCGGGTAGTTTAGTTCTGCTCCATGTAGTTTCTTGCTGAGGTAGGCGATTGGTTGCAGTCCATTCCCCTGGTCTTGCATTAAGACTGCTCCCACTGCCTGGTCGCTGGCGTCAGCTTCGATTACGTAGTCGCGTTCGGGATCTGGCAAGATGAGTACCGGTGCGGTCGTGAGTGCTTGTTTCAGCTGCTCCACGGCTTCCTGGTGCTTTGGTTCCCATTTATAGGGCGTGTTCTTCTTCAGCAGATTCGTGAGGGGTGCTGCGAGTTTCGCATACTGTGGCACGAACCTGTTGTAATAATTAGCGAAGCCTAGGAACTGCTGCAACTCCTTCACGTTCTCGGGTGTCTTCCACGTACGTACGGCTTCGATTTTCTTGGGGTCGACGTGAACTCCTTGAGAGCTCACCAGGTGTCCTAGGAACTGGACCTTCTCAAGGGCGAATTCGCTCTTGGACAGTTTGACGTAGAACCGTTCTCGTCGAAGAATTTTGAAGACGCGTTGTAGGTGCTCGACGTGCTGCTTCATGTCGCGCGAGTAGATGAGGATGTCGTCCAGGTACACCACCACGCACTCGTCCAAAAGTGGTCGTAGAATGTGGTTCATTTCGGCTTGAAACGTTGCCGGTGCATTGGTGAGTCCGAACGGCATTACCAAATACTCGTACGATCCGTACCGAGTTCGGAAAGCAGTTTTGTGGATAGAGTTGTCCGCCATCCGTATCTGCCAGTATCCGGACCGCAGATCCAGTTTGGAAAATACCGTAGCTCCCCGAAGCTGGTCAAGAAGGTCATCGATTCACGGTATTGGATATTTATTCTTGATGGTCTGCTTGTTAAGAGCTCGGTAGTCGATGCACATGCGCAGGCTTCCGTCCGGTTTCGGTGTGAAGAGTACTGGGGCACCGTATGACGAAGTGGATGGCCGGATGAGTCCTTTGGCTAGGAGATACTCGATCTGTTTTTTCATGTCGGTCAGCTCCGTAGGGCTGAGCTGGTATGGTGCTCGGAAGGTCGGCTTCGATCCCGGTTCCTCCACGATCTCGTGTTGATGCGTTCGGTATGGCGGTAGCTCGTTCGGAAGATCGTCAGGAAGAATGTCTTGGAACTCCTTCAGTAAGTCCTTGACTTTTTCTGGAGGTTCCGAGGCTTTCTCTCTGTCATTCTCCACCTCTGTTGCTATCGCCAGGAACCCGGTGTCCGTTCGCTTCACGTCCTTTTCGAATCTGGCGAGTGTCTCCACTAGGATATCTCCTGTATCGTCCCAGTTAGGTAGCTGTACTCTCCGTCCATTGTTGTAGATGCTTGCGGTGCGGTTCACCCAGTTGATCTCGGGGTTGAATCTTTTCAAGAAGTCTCGCCCGAAGATCAGGTCAAGCCCTTTTATGTTGGTGATGGGGAGAGCAGGTCTCCAGCGCAGTGGCCCGATTTGTAGGTGTAGCACTACTTCGCCGTATACTGGTAACTTGCTGCCGTCCACCATCGTTGCAAAGAATCCTGATGGCTTGTACTCTTCCCGTAGTCGGTCGATTACTGCCTTGTTGCAGACGGTGTGTGACTCTCCGCTGTCCACGAGTGCTTGGAGGCGTCGTCCTTTGCAGATGACCTCGAGCACGAGGGGCAGGCGTTGCTCGGAGTACCCAAAGATAGTCTCATTGACTGGGTCATAGGGTACATCCCAATATTCCGTACACACCTTTGTGTTGCTATCTACTCCTGAGCTGGCAGCTGGCCGAGGCTACTTGGAGAACGGCTCTTCTCCAGGGCCCGGAGTTTCATTGACGACTGTGCGCGTCATTGATGCCGAAGAACTGGATGCATCCGTAGGAGAAGGAATTCGGGGTTTGTGCAGCTTCTTGTAGACCCCCAGCTTCCTCTTGAGCTGCTTCAGCTCCACCGACGTCTTCCCTGGGGAACGGGTGGTCGTTGTGGGCTGGTGTCGGGAGAGGTCGTTGACTTCGTGGAAAGGTCGGCTTCTTTCCACACTCCTTAATTTGGTCCCCAAGTTGTCTGGTACTGGTATAATCTCCACAGGTGTCTGCTTCTTTAGGAGTCCCTCTCGAAATTTCTCCAAGGCTCTAGCTCCTCGAAAATCATAAGTTTTCATTAAAGCATCTTTGTAAGATAACTTTAACGAATCCTTATAATTTCTTGGGTCTTCAAGGAGTTTCCCTGTCTCGGCAGAGTCTTTTTTCGCGGAGTCGTATTTTTTCCTCGGCGATTTTCCCTGGCGAAGACTGGTCGTGGGGTGGAGATTTTCCCATTTCATTTCCTCCTTCTCGCGTCGAATCAGCTTCGTTGAAGTTGATTTTCTCGGAATCCCGCGGCCGCTTCCGGATCTTTTTATTTTCGCCAGCTAGATCCGCAATCACTGGCGAGTCCCGTTTTTTGGCTTCTGATTGGCCGAAGGGATTTCCGCCACTGTTGCGTGCCCGATACTCTGCGCGTAAGGCTTTCATTTTGTTGCAGTCGAAGATTCGATGACCCGGCACCCCGCAAAAATCACACGTGTAGTTGGTGTTTTTCGGACGTGGCCGCCCTTCGAATCTGTGGACTTCCATCGTGTCGGCGAACGTGGGGTGAGCCGAGCGGTCGCCCTGTCGCGTACTGCCGACGTGCGTCCGTCGTGTTCCGGCGTTGACCATGTCGAAGCGCTCCGCGGCCGATACGACGTCACTGTAGCTCGCGTAGTTTGACGCTGCCACCTGTCGTTTGACTTCGGTCTTCAGCCCGGCGAGGTACGACTGTACTTTTTCCCCTTCGGTCAGGTCGGGAATGCGGTTATAAAATTCATCCATCTGCTGTGTGTACTGCGCTACACTCCTGAACTGTCGGTGTCGATGAATTTTTTCCCGGGCAAGGAAACTCGAATTTATCGGCTCGAATCGTTTCAGCAGGTCGGTGCGGAACTGCTGCCACGTGGCTTCACCGTGGATGAAGGTACTGTTGCCGCCAATCCACTCGAGTGCCGGCCCTCGCATCAGTGTCGCCGCGAGTCGTACGCGTTGACCGTCCCAGACTGGCGAGCTCCATCCGACGGCTGCGAAGTAGATCTCCATCCCGGCGATCCATCTGCGGACGTCAGAGTTTCGATCGCTCGGATCAAACGGCTCAGGTGGGCGCGGTTTCGGAGCCTCAAGAAACTACTGCGACTGCTGCGTTGTCGCCGTTGTCCTTTCGTGTTGCGCTCCGGCGAGTCGAGTTACTCGCTCGAACTCGTTTCGCCATGCTTCGCGGTCCGCTTGCATCTCCTCCTGAAAGGCTGCGATGCGCGCGAAGAGCTGCTGGGTAACCTCGGCGTTGTCGAGGTTCGCCATCCTGTTCAAAAACACGCGCGGAGGGGGTAATTCGAAAAAACGCGGAGCTGGTGCTTACCAGAATCGGCGTCGAATTGGTCGCCCCCGGCGGTTTTTCGAGGCAGGATCCCCGCTGCTGCTGCTTAGCTGAGCGCGGTCGAGTGAGAAAAGCTCTGATTACCAAGTGTCACAGGATCGAATGTGTCGACGAAAGGTTGCACTATCGATCAGTACAAGGCGTTTTTATACTTCCAAAGTACATCAGGTAACCAGGTTTATCTTATCCTAAGGGAATAGACCCTTCTAGAAGATAGAATCGCCCTGCGTATAGCCACGCGAGGCTATTGGTTTTAAGGGATTACCGCAGGATTACGCCAGATAGCGCACCAGTACATCCCAAGCCTGGTCGGTGATATAACTATAATAGCAGGATAAACCAAAGGTTAATGGAAAATGGAGAATAGGAAACCAAATAAGATGAGATAAAAAGAGGAATGAGAGAGGAAGGAAATAAGAAAAGGGACAAGTGGTGTAACGGGGTCGTACTCTCACAGGTCTGGATCTGGTACTGGCAACGCGCGCCTCCCGAACCACCACCCGGCACACCACCACGCGCACGACCACCTCCAGCGCCAGGCCACCCGGGCGGGAGGACACTCGCCTGCCTCGTCTGCGGCGGCTGCTGTGGCTGCTGCGGCGGCTGTGGCTGCTGCGACTGTGGCGGCTGCTGCTGCTGCGACTGCGGAAGCGGCTGCGCAGCTGGACCAGGCAGGGTCCCCTCGTCCGCTCCAGCACCAGATGACCTGACTCCACCACCACCACCCCCACCTGCACCCCAGCCTCCTCCGCCGCGCCCAGCCTTGGGGCGGCGGCCCTTCCCCGGACGGTACTGCGTGGCAGCAACAGTCTCAGCCACAGCGGCATAACCGTCAGAGAAGGTACACTGAGCGGGGGCACAACCCTGAAAGTTAGGGACCGGCACAGTACCGCTCGCCTAGGCGATGGAGCGGTGGCGGGTCTCAATAACAGTCAGGGTGTTGACAAAGTCGGTGAGGGTGAGCTCACCGGGGTGGATACTAAGGAAGCGGTCGAGAGCGGCGGCAAGGCGGTCAGGGAGGCGGGTGGCAAGCAGGTAGAGGGTAGAGGTAATAGGCGGCTGGCGGGCTCTAAGCTGTGCGTCAGTGCAGGCCGCTCGCCAGGTCTCATTTATCGTGCGCAGGTGGGCAGCCAGGTCAGCGACAGTGGGGAAGGACGCAAGGTCAGGAAAGAGCATCGGGAGGATCAGGCGACCCACCGAGGCAGCAGGAGGGGTGGAATAGCGCTTGATGACAGCATCTAAGAAAGCCTGGGCGGTAGTGATGGACCTAAAGCGAGGGCGCTCAGACGGGGGAAGGGCATTGCTAATGGCAAGCTGGGCGACAGCGTCTCGGGAAAGCCAGACAGAGCGCGCAAGGGCAGCGGCTGCAGTAGACTTGCGCTCAGCTGGTGTGGGGTCAGCGGGCAGCACAGCAGGGGGGTCTGGGCAGGGGAGCGTACCGTCAAGGTGTGCGGAGAGCGGGTGGCCATCCTGACGCTGGCCAGTGAGGTGGCGACGGAGGTCGGCGAGCCACGCCTTGAACTCCAGAGGCTGGCCTTCAGCGTCGAAGCGAAGCTCCGCCGCCATCATAAGTTGTGCAGGACAGTGCGGTACAAGGCAGTGTAGGGCAGTGAGGTGCAGTGCGGTGCAGTGCGGTGCAGTACGGTGCAGGGCTGTGCAGAGCGGTACCGTGCGGTGCAGTACGGTGCAGGGCGGTGTAGTGCGGTGCTGTGCAGTGCAATGCGGTACCGTGCGGTGCAGTGCGGTGAAAGTGATGGGGGAACCGTACCAGGGAGGGTGCAGGGCCGGAGCAGGCACGACGAGCGGGCCGCACACAGCTCGGGGCAGGACGGGCGCGGGGCCGGCTGGGACGGGCGAAGGGGCCAACTATGGCTAGGGCGGGGGCCGCTAGGGCGGGCGCTAGGGCGGGCACGAGGAGCCGATAGAGCGAGCACGGGGGGGGGCCGCTAGGGCGGGCGCTAGGGCGGGCACGAGGGGCCATTAGGGCGAGCGCGGGGACGGGCACGAGAGGCCGCTAGGGCGGGGCGCTAGGGCAGGCACGGGGCCGGCTAGGACGGGCGCTAGAGCGGGCACGGGCGAAGGGGCCGAGAGGGCGGGCACGAGGGGCCGCTAGGGCGATCCCGGAGTCGGGCACGAGGGGCTGCTGGGGCGGGGCGCTAGGGCGGCCACGGGGCCGGCTAGGACGGGCGCTGGTCTCAAGGGGAGGTGGCGCGCAGGGCGCAGCTAGGACGGGCGCGGCTAGGGCGGGCGCGACTAGGGGGGGGGTAGGTCCTAGAGCAGAAGCGTGGGTGGGCGGGACCTACCTACTGCTGATACCATCTCAAAACGGAATGAATGACTAAAGAGAAAGAGAGGACAGGGAATATATCTATGTGTTGTACCCTCTAAGAGATGACCCTATACAGTCTATGCAAAGTATAAGAGATACACATGTTTGACAGTGTGGGTGTGGGTGTGGGTCAGGGCCCTAGATTGGTTTTGAGGCTTCCTGATCCATCAGGATTCTCCCTTAAAAAAATTCTGAATTTTCAGGGTCCCCCAAAAAAAAATCATGAGCCATCAGAATTACTTAAAAAAAAAAAAAAAAACTTGTTTTCTAAAAGTTTCTATACATGTTTTAGTTTATGGATTATGTGTGTTCAAGTCTTGATTGTTGAGGGTGCTGGAAATTCGTAGCGAATTCTTGCGCGTTGGGCGAGATTGGGGGATGGGCAGGAATCGACAATTGGTGGGGGGGAGAGGGGGGAGGGCTGAGTAAGGGGGGGGGGGGGGGGGCGACGAGATTGCAGGGGCGGAGGGAATCTCTTCTCTTGCAGAGCCTCAGAGGGCCTAAGATTGTTTTTGAGGCACCCTGAGTGCTCAGGGTCCCCCCCCTGGTTTAGCCTGATTTTTCAGGGCCTCCCCCGAAAATTTCGCTGAGTTTTCAGGGTTCCCTTAAAAAATTTCGCTGAGCAATCAGAGTTACATATATTTTTTCCGCAGAGCCAAATCCTCCTCTACAGTTATATATTCCATTTTACGCTCTTGGCGCTGACCATCAATTTCGTTTTTGGCACGCTTTAGATCACCAAGCCCTATGGCGCGTATCGTACCCTAAATCTG